TTCTGTTGGTTATTATGTTTTCTCTTGCACAAGCATGGTAGTGGTTCCTATAAAAATTAATATCAAAATAAAACTAATAATACTTGAAATAAATATCTTTTAAAATAGTTACCGTTTTCTGAATCTGATTCTATCTGAGTATCACTAGTAGTGGTAAATTCAAATTTATCACATAACTTATGATCTAAGAATATTTATTCAATTTAAAAATGTTTTTAATACATTATATAATAAAGAATATATAATAAAGAATATATCATAAGAATATAAAAACAAGTAAAAAAAAGTAATGACTTAATGTTTATATAATAAAAAATTACATTATCTCCATGACATTTAGTTTTGAGCAGCTTAAATCTGTATAAATTAAACTGTGGTTTACGCATTTCATTGAAACAATTTATCACATTTAATGATGATGGCCAGCACAAAAAATTATCAATTGAATTTTCTCTCTCTATTTCTCTGTATTTTCTATCCAAACAGCTCGAATGTACATTTTCCTTGCCCTACTATACTTTTTCAATTGGAAAAGTATAGTAGAAAATATAATAGAAAAAAAACTCATATATTAAAAATTTGTATATAAAAAATAAAACTTAATATATTTAAACAATATAACTTTCCATTAGTTAGTAAAAAGCCATCTTAGGTTAATAAATAATTATTCTTTAACTGTTCCAATTAAGGCAACTCTTCCCTGTGTGTGTGTGTGTGCGTGTGTGTGTGTGTGTGTGTGTAAATATATAAAAAATATATATATACATATATATAATATGCATATACATATATATATATATATATATATATACACACACATATATATAATATATATAGTATATATAGTATACATACACATAATATAAATATATATACTATATATATATATATATATATATATATATATATATATATATATATATATATATATATATATATATATATATATATATATATATATATATATATATATATATATATATATATATATATATATATATATATATATATATATATATATACATATATATATATATATATATATATATATATATATATATATATATATATATATACTATATATACATATATACTATATATACTATATATATATACTATATATACTTTTTATATATATATATATATATATATATATATATATATATTATAGTTTACATTTGTTTAACTGACATTGCAACTAAAAGTCAACCGAATATCAACGTTGAAACAACGTTGAGAGTCAACTAGGAAGAGTAGTGTATTTCATGTAAATTAAAAGACTACAAAAAATTCTTTTAAGGGAGTATATATAAGAAATAAAAAGAATGTTAACATTATATATATACATTTTTTGTTAACATATAACTATATATCTGAGTTATCATTTATGCCCCGACCACCACCATTTGATCTATCGGGTGCATTTTTCAATATATTCATGATATTTTTTCTGACTTCAGAGACTGTAGCAGTTGCTTTACTTAAAATGACGCTCTCTATAAAAAAAAGTATTGCCTGAGTAATTTGCAACAAATACAGCAAGAAATTCAAAATAAAATAGCACCACGGCATGAAAATGTGTTTTTCAATAATAGATAACATATTCATGACTTACCAACAACAACCTCACAAATGTTTGTGCCTTCAAATTTCTTTTTACCCTTGCTACCAGCCATGTTAAACTTTGATTGTAAACCATTAGTCATCAACCTACAATAAAACATTATTATTTTTATAGATACATTGAATATTGATACATAAGGTTAGCTAGCTCAATGGTGCCGTGTAATCTGCGGAATTCCTAATGGTTTTAAAATTCCTAAAATTCAATGACTTTTTTGTTTGTTTGTATTATTTGGTAAACTTAAATAAAAATTTTCATATTTTAGAATATATATATATATATTATATATATATATATATATATATATATATATATATATATATATATATATATATATATATATATATATATA